TTTGTTCAACATTCTTTGATGATAAAACAACCAAGGAATAAAAAGAAATTCATTTGACAATGCTGATCTTTGATGTTTACTTCCTTACCGCCGTAACGTATGATAAGGAACTTCATTCCAGAAACATAAAAAGTGACGGTATGTTATATTTAAATATACTTCGTTTACTTTCTGTAGCAATGTGACCTTCAGTTTGACCGTTGCAAAGTAGAAAAGAACAGCACTAGGCCAGAAAAGGAAGGAGACAACTCTAGGCCAAACTCTTAACCGGTGAGGAGCGCATAATCCGTACAGAACTGCACGGAAAAATTGACCAATCTACTACAATTGCATTGCTCAAATGTGCTGTTATTGGTACCACTTACTACTGAAAATATCAACGAGATGTCTATTTATATTTGAAGATATATGTATTAAAGGCTTCAACGCTTGTTTTCTACTCGCACTACTATTCACGATTGAACAAAACTTTTGGCAGGTACTGTATGAAAAAGTATGTTTAATGAAAAAGAGTCGAGAGTAGAATGGGCTTTTTTCTCCCTACATACGATTTTGCCAGCGCTCATCCAAGACATTGGAAGGGGCACATCGCTACAGAAAGTAAATGAAGTGTAGAAAGGTGAGGATAGGTATACTTTTTATGTTGGGGTGACTTATTCCCCTCTACCACCCATCTGGACGATTCCTGCGTCCTGCTTATAACTTACACACCAAGGGAGGCTTCTATATCATTCGGAGATAGTATTTTTGGTTTATAATTAAAAATTGTAACATAAAAGAGTTGAATTTTGTTTGTTTTATTTCATTTTAATTATTTTGTGAATTTTTCAAAAACATTCAACAATAAGTAATCCCACAATTTTTGCTACAAGATTTAGATACAATAAAATTATCTTATCCTTTTTATTACGTAACATGGACGAGAACGTATCATTGCGTATATCAATGATCCAACAGCTTACGTTTCATTTTCACTACACCTTCTCTGCGTGATTACAACAAAGATATACCTAGTGCAATCTCTTTCGACTTAAACCAAGAATAAGCCACATGATGAAAAGGATAAAATAATACTACTGTAAACTTGTATTAGTCCTTCTGTTTTATAATTTTAGTTTCAGTATACTTAGAAATGGAGAAAGTGATCAAATTTTTACAGTACATTTAAAATAAGAAATGCAGATATTTTCTAAAAAGCGGGACATTTTTAAAAATCGGCGGGACGCAGGACAGTCCACCAAAAAGCGGGACTGTCCCGCCAACATCGGGACGTGTGGTCACTTTACCAATGACCCATGTATTGAAAGCTCTAGCAAATGTGCAGGTCTACGCTGAATATTAACTTAACCGAATCATAATATCACAAAGCATAAAATTTAAGACGGTAGACATTCAATTTTACATTATCCAATACGCTTTGAGTTTTGCGGAAATAAAAATTTGAAACTGCATACTTCAACAAGACAGTCAGTAAAACTGAAAATATAAAGTCATAAACCCACATGTAATTCTACGTTAATAGCGCGTTTTATTACGCAGTCTTTCAATCAATTGTTTAAAATAAATGCATTTTAAAAAATACCGGTAAACATAAATACCTATTTAACAATAAGCGCGGCGTTTCTATGTAATGATGTAAAAATGTCTATTACCTACTGTTTCGAGCTTTTGGAATTTTCCACTCGATGAAAATGAATCCAAGAGATAAGCATGCAGTTCATTCTTCATTTAGATGCGTAATATAATCATCAAAGCATTTTGCATTATGTGGGATTATTTATATGTATACCTTCTCGCAGTTTTACATTGAAAATCTTCAATAATGTCACCCGAACTTGGTCAATATAAAAGGATAGTTCAAATGATGTTTTAATTTATAGGTACTTATTAAAGTATTAAATAATTCCCCGCACTTGCTCTACAAAGTAATGTATAATTTTTTCTGGGAAATTCCAACGGGGTTTTTCGATGTCGTACTGACCGCATATGAAAAATTCCCGGTGGTCATGAGTCATTCTTGCAACTGCGGCAATAACTGATGTTGTTAACTAATATTTACACAGTGTTTCTCAACTTCAACCTCAACCCAAGCAATGTATTAGAACCTTCAAAATTATAGCTATACAATCACCTCCAAAACAATTTCCTATCTGTTCTTTTTCCCAACTCAACCCCCAGCTTACTGCCAATTTCGAAAACTTTAAACGCTCAAAGTTTTGTCATCAGTCAAGAGTTGATCAATTTTTTGTAAATGTGGTTCTCTGGTTCCTTAAGTGTGGCTCTGCAGCACATGATTAAGTGCGGATAGCAGTGGTGATTAAAGTCGCGTATAGCATCCAAAAATGGAGCATGATCCTTAGTTAACGAAAATCAGGTTTAAGTTGACACTAAAAGCAGTTAAGGATGTGGGATTTTCCAGTTTTTGGTAAATGGGATGATTAACTCAGGGTAGGAAGGAAGACCAAGACCAAGACTATCCCAGTCTTTGTTTTGGTCTTGGTCCTACTTATTCGGTCTTGGACTTGGTTTTGCTCAAATACTTCTAGGCACCCTCCAGTGTAGTCCGCAGGGACTGCCCGCCCACAACATTAGTAACTGATGAGAATGAAACACTTTTTCAAATTTTTTTTTATTTTAGTCTTTCAATTCTTTCTTGGTAAAGGTCTAGATGATGGCCCCCACCCCCTCGGGGGGTGGGGATGGGGGGATCGAAGGAGGAGGTCTCCCCCACCAATTATTACATCATTTAACTGTTTAGAATTATAAAACGCCTTAAATATACAGGTAAGGTAAAATATTCACCGAACATAACAACTGCACAATTTCCTTGTCGCAATTTTTTGTTTTTATGTGGCACTACCGAAAATGCATAATTTGGTGAAACTGTAGAATATGCTTACGTTGGTCCACTGTTTTGAATTTAGAGGGCTTTACGAATTTTCCTATACCATACAGTGTATTCTTCAAAATAATAATTTTGATGATTTGTTAATTATCTATGATGCCCACAAGTCCATACACAAGCATGGGTTTCTCATATACAAACATATGCATTCAATATTTATCCTTTTCGTGTAGGGGTTGTGAAAATAAGATTAAAAAAGGTGCAATCTAGGGTAAGAATTAGGTGTCTTTTGTTGATTTGCTTAAAATTGTACTATTCTATTATAATTGACGATTAAACTGAGCAAGAAAATAGTGAAAACCAAGAGGTAACTGACCTGTGTTATCTTATAAAGATACTGCCACTACACTAAAACAAGTTTCTAAAATAGGATTTTAGTAAAAATAAATACGTAACAGTAATTGAGATATTATAATAAAAACCGATGTTTAATGTCGACGATTTTTGCACTTCAATACATTTATGCAGGGACGTACCGGTGTAGTTATGGGAGAACCTGGGTGACCAATGACTAAAGTGACAAGCGACAAGACAAAGCAGGACAAATTTAGTTATATATATTTTATTGTATACATTCATATACTTGAACAAAAATGTATTTGTTATTAATTATTGGTAACTACAAAAATATTTGTAAAAAATAATAATTTGAACATCATGACTTTTAACCAAATTAAATTTTTTATTAAAAAAACACAGTCATATTTTTAATTCGAGTGAATACTTGCAATAGATTCGAATCATTTATTAAAATGTTGTGAAATATTTCACATGAATTGGTCAAACTATATTTTACACTTAATATAGATTTTAAAGTTTTAATGTTCAATTGCATTTTTTCAGTTTTCTATATTTTATTGATACTAGAAAAAACATATTCTGTTGCTGCATTTGCTCCTGAAGGTAGAGCGCGAATTCTACAATTTTCAAAATATTTTGATAAGGAATATCC